CTAGAATGTCAGAGTGTATGAGTGGGGACACAGAGGTCTGTGTTGTGGGTACAGGGAGGGGAAGAGGGATTTACTGGATTAAATATGGCCAGTTCTAAATGTCCATCATATAGTGTTTCCTAAGAAATTGTTTTTAATTAGCAATTAATCATTTTTAATTAACTAGTAATACGTAAATACATTCTTGTTGTAAAAATTAGAATAGCAGGGCTTCTCTGGTGGCGCAGTGGTTGAGAGTCCGCCTGCCGATGCAGGGGACACGGGTTCGTGCCCCGGTCCGGGAAGATCCCACATGTTGCGGAGTGGCTGGGCCCGTGAGCCACGGCTGCTGAGCCAGTGCTTCCGAAGCCTGTGCTCCGCAACGGGAGAGGCCACAACAGTGAGAGGCCCGCGTACCGCAAAAAAAAAAAAAAAAAAAATTAGAATAGCAGAGACAAGCCTGGGTTCCCCTGACTACTGTCCTTCAATCAGCTTCTCTCCAAGGAAATCTCTGTTGTCAGTCTGGTGTGTTTCCTTCCTTATTTATGTGCTTACGTGCATATCCATATGCACTTGTAGAAATATCATCTTTTAAGTGTATGTCAGCATTAATTATATGTATTACTCTCCCGCTGCTTTTATTTTACCCAGCAACTGGTTCTTTAAGATTCTTCACGTGACTAAATATTGACACGACTCATTCTGTTTAATTCTTCTCCCGCCATGTGAATGTTACATAGTTCACTCAACTGTCTCCCTACCTGTTGTTGTTTCCGTCTTTCCTTTATTACAAATGATGCTTCAGAGAGTATCTTTTGATATGCCTCCCTGAATATATGAACAAGGGTTCTTTGGGGTAAATGCAGAAGAGTGGAACTGGGGCTTGCAGGGTGTGTGGAATTTTTTAAAGAAAGACACAGACAAATCGCCCTGCAAAGTGGGGACTGCAACTTGCCTCCCACTAATGTGCCTGTGGGAGTTCATTTGCCCACATCTTCCCCAGCACTTGACGTTATCAAACTTTGTAATTTTCCAGTCTAATGGGGAAGAGCGAATCTCCCATCTTCTCCTTGTTGCCCTTGGTTGGGCTGGGAGGGGAAATTGGTGCTGGGTTTTGGGGTTTTTTTTTTGCCCATGGGTCATAATTTCCCAACTCCTACTTTATTTTTTAATTTTAATTTTATATTGGAGTATAGTTGATTAACAATGTTGTGTTAGTTTCAGGTGTACAGCAGAGTGATTCAGTTATACATATCCGTGTACATCTATTCTTTCCAGTTAACTTGGTGCTGTTTATAGAAACTTCTAGCTAGCCCTGTTCAGAGTCCCATCTTCTACTTCTCCTTTCAGGGTCCCTGGTGCCCCAGTTCCCGAGCTTCTGGGTTTTGTGTTGAGAATCTTCGTGTTTCTGTGAATTTCCTGCCCTCCCCTCCTCTGTCCCTTCCCTATGCTCCCGAGCCCTAGGTCTCAGCTTCCTCGTCTGCTTTTAGTTACCATTTTCGAGCTTTAAAATTTTTTGTGGCCATTTATCATCTTCTGTTGTCTCTTCTTTTATTCTTTTAAAATAGTCCTTTACTGTCAGCTTAACACGGTTTTAGGAAGGTGCAAAAATGAATGTGGGTATCCAATCTACCACATTTAATCAAAACGAAATGTCTCTATAATCCCCTGCCAGACTGTCAGCTTCTTAGAGGCAGGAAAGGCTTGTATTTACTTCTGTATCCCAGCATCTAGCATCTTGCCTGGCAAATAGGGGATAGGACTTGATACACTTTTGCTGAATGGAGGAGCAAGTGAGAAAGTATTGATAGCTGAGCATCTTGTGCTGATGGTCCTTAGGAAGGGGATGTTGCTTAGGGAAGGGTTACCAATTTACATGACAGGCAAGTTCATGAAGTCTTGCATCCTTTTCCTTTCTGTCCTCCAGCTTATCACTTCTGTTTACATACATGAGCCCATCTCCTCTTCAAGGCTGAACTTTGAATCTTGTTTGTATGACCCACTGACTGACCAAACAGATACTTGTGTATCCAAGCAGGGAGGACAAGTTGGGACCTTGGCAGGTGACACTATGCCTTTCCCAACTTGACGACCCTTTCTCCAGACCAGTGGAAGAAATCACCTTAACCCCCAACTCATGAGAGGAGGGACAGCGTTAGTGGTTGGGACTACAGCTTTAGGGAGTTAAAGATCTGGGCTTGAATCCTGGGTCCACTATTTACTTGTGTGACTTTGGTCAAGTTAGTGACCATTTTGAGCCTCAGTTTTTTGGTCTATAAAATGGGGATGATAATACTTTAAGTCACAGGATTAGTTGAGATAATGTATACAAAGTGTTTAACCTAGAGGCTGGCCCAGTAGATGCTGGCTGTCATCATTATCATCGTCGCCCTTATTGTCATAGTCGCACCATTTCGTTCTACTCACTTCTTTCCAGTGGTCCCCAACCACTATTTCATTTCCTCAGGGATGATGAAAACTCCCCTACCTTGAATCCCTCCCCTCTGGGAACTGCAATCTGCATTTGCTCTAGTGTAAGAAGCTTCTAGGGTGGGTCCAGGTGGAGATGCAGAGAGAACCGTTGGCCTCAGGACTTGGACACAAGTTAGCCATGTGACCTCAGGAGAGTCACTTTACCTCTCTGAGCTTCCTTGGACTGGACCAGCTTTTCTTGTGATATATGGATTATTAATAGGCATTACCTGACAAAAGACGCCATGGTCCAGTATATTTTGGAACTGCTGATTAAATGAAGTTAAATAATAATACTTAATATAATACTTACATGTATATAATACATTATATACAATCAAATGATAAGTATTTATTGTGTTACATTGTTATTAAATAGTACATTACTATCTATCTAATTAGCACCTATCTAACCACTGAAACAACTCCAGGAACTAGATTGTTATTATGATTATTATCCCTCTTTTACAGATGAAGGACTGAGGTTCTCACAGCCTTTAGTACCATGCATTGTGAATTTCCAAAAGGCAGTGGGGACAGCAGTGTTTCTGATCCTATCTGACAGCGGCCCCCCTTTCCCACAAGGATGTCGTGGGGCTGCGGCTCTGCAGCAACAAGTCAGGGGAAGGCTGGGCACTTTCCTCTCTGGGATCCTTTCATGCTCAAACATTCCCTTTTCATCACTCCTGACCCTGTGTGCCCCTCCTCTGCAGACTGTGGGTCCCCAGGCTGGAGATCAGGACTTGGGAAAGGAGCTACTCCGATCAGGTTCTACAGGTTCTTGCCCTCTCTCAGCCAGGGGCAGATCAAGGACTCTGCTCGTGGGCGGTCTGTTTACCTGTTTACCGCAGCTTGATTCCTCAGTTCCGTCTCTGGGGGTGGGGCGGTGGGGGGCAGATGTGCCAGAGAAGTGTTTAAAAGCCACACAACTCACGGTGGAAGGTGCTAGGCATTGTTCTGGCCAGAGAGTGGGAGCAGGGGACTGTCTTTGGGGTTAGCCTAGGATTTGGGGGGAAGAGACTCAAAGGAGTCATTTTGGAGCTGGGACTTCCTTGGAAGGGGGAGTGCAGCCTCTGTTGCACTCAGGACCCCAGGCCATGGGGCTGAGGGTTAAGAGGCTGGAAGCCAGAATCTGACACTCCTGGCTGTCCCTCTCGAAGCTTCTGTTTCCTCATCTGTAAAATGGGCATAAGAATACCTTTTCCACTGGGCTGCTTTGGGGATCCAATGAGATCTGAAAAGGCTTTGTAAATGGTACTTCCCTGCAGTCAGTTGTTCTTATGGCTTTGGGGTAGGGGGCTGGGACTCTAAGCTCTTCTGAAGTTTAGTGAACTCACAACCCGTTAATCTGGAGGAGAACTGCTGGTCCTACTCTTTGTTTCCTAATGCAAAGTCCCTTCCCAAACTCTCCTATCAGGCCACAGAAGCAGAGGTTCCAGCTGGGGCCTGGTGTGCTAGCTACCATCTGGCCCATCTCCCCCTTCCCCTACCAGGAGCAGGCCTCCTCCTTCAGGCCAAATAGTGACTCACGTCAGATCAGCCCTGGCAGCTACAACCTTTGTGAAAGCCCAGCCACACCCTGATTTCAGGGCCAGCCTTGAAGCTCCTTCCCCCTCGGAGCCCCGGGACCCACTTGCAGGTCTGATTCACTAGTTTGAACAGCCTCAGGCTGGCTTTCCTAGTGGCTTGGGGCTGCTCCTGGTGGGTTATGGGTGTGTGCGTGTGTGTGTGTGTGTGTGTGCGCGCGTGCGCGCGTGCGTGCGTGTGTGTGTGTGTGTGTGTGTGTGTAGGGGGGGTTTGGTGCCCCTGTTCCTGGATCAATTGGTGGCCAGAAGACAGTTTATTGGGGACAGGTTTCAGCGGCTGGGGACAAGTCTTCATTTAGCCACAGGTGACCCAGGTGATAATATGCAGAGAGGAGGCCTAAGATTTCACAGGAAACTGAGAGTAACTGACCCGTCTCCCTACCACCCTGTCAAAAGGGCACCGGGCCTCTGTCCCGAGATTGGGTGGCTGCTCTGACATAAGGGTGCAAAGGAACTGCGGGGACAGTTCTGAGGAGGTGTGAGGTCCCTGCGGACAGGAACTGGGGTGAGGCTGCTTCAGGGCCCTGCAGTGTCTGGCAGGGGGGCCTCCAAGGAGATCATAAAGGTGGGTGGAGTTACTGAGCTGGATGAAGAATGGGGCTGGGGGCTGTGTATGGAGCGGAGGGACCCCTTCCTCTGTTATCGAAACTCTCCACCTTGCGTGTGGGCGCCCTCCCTAGCAATCCAGTCATTCATCCATGTACTAGGACAGGACTGTTAGGCACAGGAGGATTCAGTCTACACCCTCCTTGGAGATGCTCACAAGGGGGTAGGGATTCCATCCTGTCTCTGGGCGGCAGGTGCGAAAAGTCTCATGGGCGGGTTTCCCTGGTGGCGCAGTGGTTGAGAGTCCACCTGCCGATGCAGGGGACGTGGGTTCGTGCCCCGGTCCGGGAGGATCCCACATGCCGCGGAGCGGCTGGGTCCGTGAGCCATGGCCGCTGAGCCTGCGCGTCTGGAGCTTGTGCTCCGCAACGGGAGAGGCCACAACAGTGAGAGGCCCGCGTACCGCAAAATGGGCGAGTTACTCACCTCCCTTAGGCTCAGATGCCTCACTACAGCATCACTTCAGTAAGTCTGCGTCGAATGCATGCTTTTGGGCTTGGAGGGTAGAGGGTTGTCCTGGTTGGGGGTGGGCATGGGTGGATGGTTGGTGAGAGTACTGAGTTGGGGGTTCAGCTCCCAGGTGGATCTCCGGCTTGAGCTCGGGATTCTGAAGGTGCCTTTTACAGTCCCGCTGCAGAACCCCTCCCAGCAGCTGTTCCCAGGAGCCTATTGTCACCTTGGGGCTTTGTATGGCCACAGCAGGGTGGGGCGGCTTTGTCTCAGGAGGCCTGGGAAGTTGCAGCTCAGAGCACCTCATGTGGGGGACTGAGGGGGGGTCAGGGTGTGGGTGATCCCCAAGGGGCAGGTTCTGAGAGACTGTAATTCCCAGTGGGGCGTAGGAATCAGGTGAATGCACTTTGGGGGGGTTAATTTTGATCACAAGGAAGGGGCTCAGAATGTGATGGGGGGACTCTGAGTGAGGGATCACGGGGTGGGGGGCTGACGTCTCGGCGTGTACTCTCAGAAAAAGTGTAATTCCTGGGGGGTGTCAAACTCTGGGTGATCTTAATGGGGGAGGGCCAGCATGTGAATTGCGGGGATGTCTAAGTGTACGTGTGATGGGGGTGAAGATCCGAACGAGTGTGCCAGCGGGGTGAGTGGCTGGGCATCGGAGTGGGCTGGTGTGGGGCAGCTCTCTGGAGGGCAGGAGCCTCTGGTCCCAGGGAGGGGAGAGTCGGAAGCAGAGCCGCCAGGAACTGACCAATGGGGAGAGCGCCCGTATTTGCACTCAGGAGCCTGCAAATTCCTGGGCCCTCAGAAATCCGCCCGACACCGTCCCCCCTCCCCCGCCCAACCCCGGGCATAAAAGGCGCCAGGTGAGGGCCTCGCCACTCCTCTTGCCGACTGCAGCCACTCCGACCGGTGTCGCCCGCGTCCTCCTTCGCCATGACTTCCTACAGCTATCGCCAGTCGTCGGCCACCTCTCCCTTCGGGGGTCTGGGCAGCGGCTCCATGCGCTTCGGGGTGGGAGGCGCCTTCCGCGCGCCCAGCATCCACGGGGGCTCGGGTGGCCGCGGCGTGTCGGTGTCCTCCGCCCGCTTCGTGTCCTCGTCCTCCTCCGGGGGCTACGGCGGCGGCTATGCGGGCGCCCTGGCCGGCTCCGACGGGCTGCTGGCGGGCAACGAGAAGCTCACCATGCAGAACCTCAACGACCGCCTGGCCTCCTACCTGGAGAAGGTGCGCGCCCTGGAGGAGGCCAACGGCGACTTGGAGGTGAAGATCCGCGACTGGTACCAGAAGCAGGGGCCCGGGCCCGCCCGCGACTACAGCCACTACTTCAAGACCATCGGGGCCCTGCGGGACCAGGTGGGAGGCGGCCCGGCCGCGGGAAGTGCACCTGTCGCGTATACCCAGCCCCGCGGGCCGGGTGAGGCCCGAGGCGGGGCCGGCAGGCGCCAGAGCCACTTCCCGGCCGGGGCGGGAGCGAGGGTTAGGATGGGGGGAGGGCCCCCAGGGTGGGGCGGAGGGAAGCCGGCCGGTGAGGAGGGGCAGGACCACGGGGCAGGAAGTGGAGGCCTGGTAGGGGGGAGCGGGTTAATGTGGGGGACTGGAGGGCGGGAGGAAGAAGGCGCGCCGGTCGGCTAGGCCTGGGAAAGGGGGGAGGAAGGAGGGGGAAGAGATGGGGCGCGCTGTGGGCTGCCCTGAGGTCTGGACCTGAGTCGCTGTGCAACAGGGAAATGCAAGAGTTTGGCCAGGGAGGAATCTGGTTCTCGCCGGGCCAGACCTGCCTTCTGCTGCCCCCGATGTGAGGCCCTCTGCATTCCTTGTCTCCCGCCGGGCGGGTCTGGTTTCCATCACGCAGAGGCTGAAGCCCCTCCCCCGCCCGGGGGGCCACTGGGGACTTAGAGGAGCTCTAGGAAGAATGGGAGAGGCTAACTCTGGCCCCTGGGCAAGGAGGGACATATGCTGTGGCCCCCGGACTGGGTAAAGGAGAGACGAATGCTGAGCTTGTGAAGACCTCTGTGGAGAGGGCCCGTGCCGTGTGGGTGGAGACCCCAAGTCCCAGCTACAGCCTCTTGCTGGGAGGCCCTCAGGGTCCTTCAGGGTGGGGCTTGGTCTCTGCCCACAGGGAACGGCTCAGAGCTGGGATCTCGGTCCCGAAGAAATGTTTCAGAAGCCAGTGGGACATTAAACAGCCTCACACGTTGGGTCTCCAAACGCACAGTCCCCGCAGCGTAGGCCAGGGCCCACCCTGTGCCTGGAGTGCTGCTGGGTGCCAGGGGCCTGGACCAGACCCGTAGATGAGGGAGAGCTAGAGATGTAAACAACGAGCGTAGTGCTTTCAGACTTTATAAACTATGACCCACACAAGAAAATACACTTTGCCTCAAAGAGGAGGCACAAAGTGTCGGCACATAATAGATGCTCGACAGAGCGCTTTCCCTTCCCCGAAGGCAGAGGTGCTTTGAGTGGGGGTCAGACCACAGCTCAGACCACAGCCCACCCCTGTGCTCCCTGCATCTGGTTTGCGGATCACTAGAAGTTGCCTCCCTACGAGCATTTAGAGTTTCCCTGGGTGCAGGTCGTGGAGACTTTTCCCCCCAGGCTTACCTCCCTGCCCTTGCCATTTCCTCCCTGGCTCAGCCTCCCTGGCGGTAGTTTCTCCCGCTCCAGCTCCTGGGCCTGGACCCATTCCAAGGCCTCCCAGAGAGCAGGCTGATGGGCAGCCTGGGGTGGCTGAGGCTTTGGTCTCCAGGCGGTGGAGGCACACAGGCACGCACACTCCTTTGCTCTCCTCTCTCCTCTGGGAAGGAAGTGGGTGGACGGTGCCCACGTACGAACTGGTGCTAACCTCCTGCCTGCCGCCTTCCAGATTCTTGGTGCCACCGTTGAGAATTCCAGGATGGTCCTGCAGATCGACAACGCTCGTCTGGCCGCAGATGACTTTCGAACCAAGTGAGTGTCTGTACCTTGGGGGCTGCAGAAGCCAGGGCAGGGGAGGGGGGCAATCTCAGGCCCTTATGGGGCTCAGTGCCGTGGGGGGAATGGACTCTGCTCTCACCCACCCAGGCTGGTCTGAAGCACACCCCATGCCCCATGGGCCCCTGAACCCAGGGGAGGTGGGGAAGTCTTCAGAGGTGCAAAGGAAATGCTGGCCTGACTGCAACTATTTCCTCCGAAAGGTTCGAGACGGAGCACGCCCTGCGCGTGAGCGTGGAGGCCGACATCAACGGCCTCCGCAGGTTGCTGGACGAGCTGACCCTGGCCAGGACCGACCTGGAGATGCAGATCGAGAGCCTCAAGGAGGAGCTGGCCTACCTGAAGAAGAATCACGAGGAGGTGGGTTTCAAGCTGGGCTTCCCATCCATCCCCGCCCAGCTTCCCAGAGCTGAGGACACTTTTCTTTATCCTGTACCCTCTGACCGTGGCCACATCTGCTGCACCCTTGACCTGGCCCTGAGTGTGTCATGTGGCTCCCAAGCGTTCCAGCAGGGGATGGTGGTGACCCCATCTGTACCCCAGTGCTGGCTCCTAGGTCTGCACCTGACAACCAGACCCCTATGGCCTGGGGGATGGGGGCGTGACCTGGCTCAGGCCCAGCAGGCTCTGGGCCCTGACGTGCCCATCTCTGCTGTATCTTTCTAGGAAATCAGTGTCCTGAAGGGCCAGGTGGGTGGTCAGGTCAGCGTGGAGGTGGACTCCGCTCCGGGCATCGACCTAGCCAAGATCCTGAGCGACATGAGAAGCCAATATGAGGTCATGGCTGAGAAGAACCGGAAGGATGCTGAGGCCTGGTTCACCAGCCAGGTATGGACGGGGAGGCAGGTGCCCCTTGGGGAGGTGGCAAGGAGAGCGGGCTTAATGCTCCCAGGCAAGGGTCTGCCTCAGCGCTTACTCCCTCTGCCTCCTCTCACTGCAGACCGAGGAGCTGAACAGGGAGGTCGCTGGCCACACGGAGCAGCTGCAGAGCAGCAAGACGGAGGTCACCGACCTGCGGCGTACCCTCCAGGGTCTGGAGATCGAGCTGCAGTCTCAGATCAGCATGGTATGTGCCCTCTGCCCTGTGGGATGCGCACTCGTGTCCTTGCGGCCTCGGGCAGCCTGGATGGTGGCTGGGCCCATGCCATCGCTGGGCACCGGGCTCTGCTGAGTCTCTTTCCCTCTCCCTGCCCTCAGAAAGCTGCCCTGGACGGCACGCTGGCCGAAACGGAGGCTCGCTTCGGAGCCCAGCTGGCGCAGATCCAGGCGCTGATCAGTGGTGTCGAAGCCCAGCTGAGCGATGTGCGTGCCGACACCGAGCGGCAGAACCAGGAGTACCAGCACCTAATGGACATCAAGTCCCGGCTGGAGCAGGAGATCGCCACCTACCGAAACCTGCTGGAGGGCCAGGACGCCTACTACAACGACCTGTCCACCCCGAAGGTCCTCTGAGTCTGACAGCCTCCTGGCCTTCCTACTCTGCTGCAGAGGGATTCCCCTGGGTAGGGGCATGGGAGGGGAGGGACCCTTATCCCTGGCCCTCCCCCTGATCTTCCAATAAAACTTTATGGCCCAAGGGAGGAAGGACGTTGAGTTTGTTATTTCAGCCCATGGTGGGGGGGCCAGGCCTTGGCACTGTTTAGGTTTTATTGTTTAGGTTTCATTTGGACCAGAGTCCACGCTTTCCCAGGAAAGGGGAGGGAGGGCGCTCACAAACTCCAGCTGTTACAGTAATTCCTTTGCAGAGGTCTTCATGTATCTCACCTGTTCCCTAAAACAAGGACGTTTAATAAGCATTGCTCCCATTTTACAGAGGGATAAACTAAGGCTCAGAGAGGCGAGGTGGGTTGTTGTATATGTAACTGTTCTAACACATGGCAAAGGTGGGATTTGAAACTGGTTTTTGCTTCCAGATTTAGTTTTCTTTCCACTGAACTCACCCCAAGGGTTGGTGTGTGTTTGTGTATCTAATTAATGTTTACTGAGCACCTACTAAGTGCTATTTAATCAAACAACCCTGAAAGGTAGTATGAGTTGTATCCTATAGAGTAGGAAGCAGGCTCAGAGAGGTTAAGTAACTTGACCAAGGCCACATAGCAACTACATGGCAGACCTAGGACCAGAATTACATTTCCTGATTCTTAACCCACAGTGCCACCCCTGCACCCCGTCTCCTAGGATGACACTGCTTGTGCCGTTTCCTCAGTACATTCCAGTCTTGCTCTGTGTGAAGGCCTAGGACTGGGATCCCCTGAGGCAGTTCCTCCTGACAGGTTTTTCCACCTAACTTAAGGAGAAACTGGGGCTTTGGGGTCAGGGGGCGGGCACCAGCTCAGAACAGGGCTGGAGAGGGCGCCCTCGTTGGGGTGTGTGTGCGCACGCACTGACACCTCCATCCATCCCCTGGCAGCCCTGCGTAAGCCCCTTACACCCACCAGCCCATACCTGGGCTCAGAGCCTGGAATAGGACCCAGCTGTGACCCAGACCGCCCACAGAGACCCCCAAACTGGCTTGCCTGGGGCCCGTCCCAGGCCCCCAAAGGAATGCAAGTCCCAGCTTCCTGGTACAACTCTGCCCTGGGGTTGGTATGGTCCTGTCCCTGTGGTTTACAGCTTAGCGGCCAAGAACGGAGGCCAATTAAAGGTAAACATGTCCCACTTCCCCCAGCAGAGAGGTTCAGGCTGAGTGGGTCTGTTCGTGGATCTGTGACAGCGGCCGACCCTGTGAGGGAGGGGCTGAGTGAGGCGGAAGGTCTGGGGGGACAGACGGACGCTCTGCCACCTGTGCTCAGCACTGCGCGAAGGTGACTCAGGACCCCGCCATACCTGGTGTTCATCCTGAAGGGGGTGCTTTTTCCGCCATTTTCCATGAAGCTTGGTAGGCTCATTAGCTTACTCCAAATCACAGGCTGGTGACCCCCGAGCCCAGCTCTTCCCGCTTCCCCTGCCGCAGCCCCGGGCCAGGAGCCCCTTCTGCCACGTCCCCAGTTATTCCACTCCGGCCGTCAGCACCTACAGACTCACTCTCCCACTTGACTTAGGAGGCCTTGGAGCTAGAGGCCAGAGGCCTGGCTGCACCCCCAGTCCCAGGCTGGGAGTGCCCAGATATTTGTCCCCTGTTCGTGAAAGCCTCTGTTGTCACAGCTGAAACCCTCCCCTGTGCCCCAGAGGCCCCTGGAATGTGGCTGTGAGGCGGGGTCTGGGCCCCATACAGGTGGGGCTGGTGACTGGGTCTCAGGTCTGGGTGTCAGGAATAAAGCTTTCCTTTGTGTGCAGGTGCGCGCGCGTGCGCGTGCGCGTACGTGCGTGCATGCGTGTGTGTGTGTGTGTGTGTGTGTGTGGACACTTTTCTGTCTCAGTCTGGGAGCTGAAACTAGGGGTACTGTGTTGACAGAAGCAGCTGGGATAGAGGAAAGGGAGCGAGAGGAAGGGGGAGGGGATTTGGGGGGGCAGCCCTGCTGGTCATCTTGACCACTTCAGTTTGCAAGCATTTCCGGTCCGTCATCTTGCTCCATCCCCGTGAGTCAGACTGGGTCAGAGTTATTTCCATTTTTCCAATTGGTAGACTGAGGCTCGGAGAGAGGAGGCTTGATTACTCAACGCCATGTAACTAATAAATGAGAAATGAGGAATTCTCCAGGCCCCAGGGCATGCCCTCTCTCTGACCCTGGCATCTCCCTGGGGAGCAGAGGAGATTCTAACATCTATGGAGGTCCCCACTCCCCCTGTGACACTGAATGCTCACTGTGGCCCTGTAGCTGGGGCCAGTGTTAATGGGGTCTGTGTTTTTTTTTTTTTAATTTTTTTATTGTGGTAAAATACACATAACATGAACATGACCATCTCACACATTTCTCGGTGCGCAGCTCTGTGGCAGTTCTGTGCACTCACCTTGTTGTGCAAGCGTCACCCTCCATCCTCACAACTCTTTCTATCCTGTAAAACGGAAACTTTATCCCCATTAAACCATAACTCCTCATTCTCTCTCCCCACCCCCGGCAACCACCATTACACTTTCTGTCTCTATGATTTTGACTCTTCTTAGTGTCTCATGTAAGTGGGAAAATGGCCCAATTTTAAGTCAGGAACCTGGCTCGGAGATGTTGAGTTGCACCCGGAGGTGGAGTCCAGCTCAGGCTCTTCCCACTGGGCTGCATCGTCCCATCCCTAGGAGGGAAGGCCGGCTCTGGGATAGCCTGTCTGCCTGCAGTGGGCAAAGGACAGAAACTGGCACAGCATCCCGGGCGGGCTGCCTGGGGCAGGGCCCAGGTCTGCAGTCTGGGCTGGAGCGAAATGGAGCTTGACCTCCACCCTTGCCCAGCCATCACCTTCTGGTGCTAGTGAGTAGGCTCTGGCCACCCAGACCTTGAGCTCATAGGAACTGTTTGGACCGAAACCAGGGGTTTGTGACTGGGGCAGCTGCTGCCTGGCCTGGGCCTGAGAGCGTAGGGAAAGCCCCCTTGAGGGGCTGCTGGAGGGGAGTCAGGGTGCAGAGAGAGGCTGGCTGGGGTCCAGCCCTCCCTCACCCCGGGGTGATGCCACATAATTTTTCCCGGGGTAATTGCTGGGGCCGTAATGTCTGCAGAGGCTTTGAGGAGCTATGGCTGATCTGAGTTTGATTATTTTTCTTTCAGAGGAAAAGACAGTATCCTCCCATCCACGAGACAATACCTCACTGTCTGGGCCCAGCACTCAGAGGCGGGCTCACTGTGATACTGGGCGAGGAGAAGCCCACCCCCACGTACCAGGAATACTCCACTACCCCAGCTCAGGTGCAGGAATCTGGAGTCTGGGGAGCGGAACACCTTCTTTTCCTGTCTCCTGTTTGAGTGGGAGGAGGGGGCGGTCAGAGGACCCAGTGAGTCCCGGCGATGCCCTCTTACTAGCTGTGCCACCTTATACCAATCACTTCCCTCTCTGAGCTGCAATTTCATTCCTTCTGAAATAGGGGCAGGGATCATCTTCTTAGCTGTGAGGAATAGAGGCGGCATGGATGCAGAAGTGCACTGTAAACTGTGAAGGATGCGGTGGAAGTAAGAATTTACTGTTATTAAAGCAATAAAAACAATGACCTGCATTGCCCAGTAGGTGCTGGTTATGGAAGAATATGGCAGAGTGTGACGGTCACTCACAGGGCAGATCTGATGCCCGAGGACAAAAAAAATGTCCCCGCAGGTGATGGTACTTGGGAGTCCTAAGTATTGGACATGCACCCCTCTATCCAGTGCCTCAGAAGACGGGGAGCAAGGAGGAGGCAGGATGGGGGCTCTTGGGCCTCAGGGCTTCCCTGTAAGTGGGAGCTGAGAGTGCCCGTTGCAACAAGGAAACTGAGACTTGAATGGTACCGTGTCCAAGGTTTTCCAAGCAGTGATGGGTAGAGCCAGGCTTGAAGCCAGGTCCCAGGGAATCCAGAGCTCCGTCAGCTTCATGGTGCTGCAGCTGTGGTCCAGGAATCCTCCTCCTGACCCTCCAGCCTGGTCTTGCTCACTTCCCCACCCCTGGCTCTCTCTAAACCCCGCAGCCAAAGCCAGAGGGCCAGGCCACGCCTCCGGTGGCACTGCTCACAGGTATCAGTATCCCCGGAACACGGGCCCCTGAGCTGGCGGCGGAGAAAAGCGCTCTCCCGAGTGTTGGACTCCCCTCTCTGGCCTCAGCATCCTGCTCTCTGAAGCGGTGCCTCGACCTTCAAGATCTCCGAGGTGTCTTCCAGCCCGCCCTGCGGGCCTCTCTATCCCCCCACCTCCTCACGGTGCTCAGGCACATACAGCTTTCTGGATCGGATCCCTCCTCAGCTTCGTGGTGCTTGACGGGACAAACAGGGTTAATCTAGCGCCGCTGTGCAGCGACTTGCCTCTCCCTGGAGAAAGCAGGGGCTTTCTGGAACTTGCTCCCGTCTTATCTGCAGAGGTTTGCCCCAACTTGTCCCAGGAGCAAGCAAAGGTTCAGTGACATGTAGTTGGCAGGCGGTGGGATTATCAATCAGCCCCTTGTCAGCCCTGAGCCCGCTGGCTTTTGTGAGAATGCCAGTGCCATGGGGCTGAGGGCCGGTGTGGGGGAGCTGGAGAAGAAGGAGGGGGACTGGGGGTGGGGGAGGAGAGGAGGAGAGGGGGGGGGGGGGGGGGAGGGGGGGAGGAGAGGAGGAGAGGGGGGGAGGAGAGGAGGAGAGGGGGGGAGGGTTGGAGCATCAGGGAAGTGACAGATGCTGGCCCCTCTGGTCACCTCAGCTGGAACTTGACTCAGGATCCCTCTCCTGTCCTCAGCCTATCCCTGTGGGCCCTGCATTCCTCTGTGTACCTCTGCCCGCCAATCCCCAGAGCCCGCAGGCTCGCACATGGGGTCTGTGAGAGGGACCGCACAGGGCAGCGATGAAAAGTGGATTCTCGAACTGAGAGCGGGGAGCCGGCCACCTGCGGGCAGCAGAGAAGTCCAGCGGAGAGTGGAGTTGGCCTGAGCCTCTAAGAGTGCAGGCGGAGGCCTGGCAGACGTGATGCGAGTTTGCTCCTTTCGGTTTTCTCCTGGAGAGTAGAGATGAACCTGTAATCCAAGTGTTAAAACCATGGCCCGGGGCAAAACACCATTCATTCTGAATCATCTCTTTTGTTGCATTAAAAAAAAAAAAAAATAGAAAGAAAAGAAAAACCCCAAACCAGCCACGTGGAGGTGTGCAGGTGGCTGTGTTTGTCAGGAAGGCAGAAGGAGTTGGCTTCCCTTTGGGGGAGGAGACATGGCCCCACAACACCCTGGGAGGGGTATATAAGGAGCCTGGGGCTGGGGGTGACAGGTGCAGACCTCAGGTTTCAGCCCAGCTCACGCCTCCTGCCAGCTTTGCTTGTGCTGCTGAGAGCTCAGGGCTGCTGCCTGGCCATGAGCACCACATTTCTACAGACTTCTTCCTCCACCTTTGCGGGTGGCTCGACCTGGGGGGGTTCCCTCGTGGCTGGGGGAGGAGGCTTTGGTGGGGGGAGTCTCTATGGGGGAGGTGGGAGCCGCAGTATCTCAGCTTCTTCTGCCAGGTTTTTCTCCTCGGGGTCAGCAGGGGGCTATGGGGGCGGCTTCAGTGGAGGGGCTGGTAGTGGTTTGGGTGGAGGCTTTGGTGGTGGCTTTGGTGACTTCGGCGGTGGCGGTCTCCTCTCTGGCAACGAGAAGCTCACCATGCAGAACCTCAACGACCGCCTGGCCTCCTACCTGGAGAAGGTGCGCGCCCTGGAGGAGGCCAACGCTGACCTGGAGGTGAAGATCCGCGACTGGTACCAGAAGCAGAGCCCAACCAGCCCGGAGCATGACTACAGCCCCTACTTCAAGACCATCGAGGAACTCCGAGACAAGGTGAGTCCTCGGGTGTCAGGGAGAGGGGAGCAGGTGGCTGGTGCCAGCCGCCTGGGGGAAATCCTTGCCTTCCCAGGTAATGATGTGTAACCTCGGCAAACTTGGAGCGTGGGGAATGCGTTCCAGGTGTGGATGCCCGCAAACATCTGCTCAACCTGGCAGTGCTGGGGATCCGGGCACGCGGGTCTCGACCAGTAGGGGCCGAGGTGAGAGCAGTGTTCACACCCTGCAGGGCTGTGCCTAGAGCATTCCTTTGGGTTTTTTGCAAGAACGGAGGTGTAGAGATGAACCTCCGGTTCTAGGAGTCCAGAACACCAGGACTGCCTGCCTCACCCTTCGAATGTCTTGGGTGGCAAAAACACTGTTGGACCTTCGGAGACCTGGAACTGGGTGTGGGCCCTCCCAGCCACTCACTCACCCTTCACTCACCTGCACCAGTTTCTGCAGCTGCCCTCCGGTCTCCCCCCGACTGGAATGTTCTGTAGATGCATGGCTGTGTTAAGGTGTGCAGGAGGCCGGCGACCGTGAGCTGTCTATAGGGGAGGCTGGTGGAGTACCGCCAAGAGGGCACCCTCTCCAGGCCAGGCACTTTCCACAGGGGGTTCTCCTCGACCCTGGTTCCTTGGTCTTTCATGTTCTGGAGACGAGGAGGGTGGCTTGGGACAGACCAAGTGGTGGCCTGGACTCTGCCCCGGGGCCCTACAGGCTTCCGTTGCTGGTGTCAGAGGGGAGATGTTTCGTGAGGGGTCCCGCCTGGGGCGCAGGGCAGGGAGAGCAGCAGGGAAGAGGGAGGGGTCCTCTAGACACCAGCTCCCTGTATCTTGCAGATCCTGGCGGCCACCATCGACAACTCCCGGGTTAGCCTGGAGATTGACAACTCCAGGCTGGCCGCGGATGACTTCAGACTCAAGTATGTTCCCTCTGCCCCCTCTCCCAACTCCAGTGGCCCAGACCCCTCACCCTTCCTCACTTGGGTTCCCTCTTCCTTTCCAGGTATGAGAACGAGCTGGCCCTGCGCCAGAGCGTGGAGGCCGACATCAACGGCCTCCGCAGGGTGCTGGACGAGCTGACCCTGGCCAGAGCCGACCTGGAGCTGCAGACTGAGAGCCTGAACGAGGAGCTGGCCTACCTCCGGAAGAACCACGAGGAGGTGAGAGCCAGGCAGTGGCTGGGGCTGATGGGAGGCAGAGTGGGGCCTCTGGGGCCTCCTCATAGTTGGGGGAAGGGCTTCGTGGTTCAGATATGCACGCCCCCCAACACAGGGGTCTCCGTGGAGAGGAAGGGGCACTGTCGACCCAGACCCCTTTTCTCCTCTGATCCACAGCCAGGCCAGGTGGCCAGTGGGCACTGCTGTCCTGATCTGCTTCAGGAACTGACACAAAGACCCTACTGTCTTGAGGTCCTCCCTCGGCAGGACCTAGAGAGGAGGAGGGACCCTTAGTGCTGAGGGGCTCGTGCGATCAAAAATCTTCACGTGCTGTGGGAAACAGGGGCCCGGGATGGGTATGGGGCAGAGCCAACGTCACGTGGTGAGTTAGGGATGGAGCCGGGATTGGCACGTGGGACCCCAGACTCAGCTCTGGCTTCCGCCCTCTGTCTCTGAATGGGGCCCACCCACCCTGCAGGAGATGAAGGAGTTCAGCAACCAGCTGGCCGGCCAGGTCAACGTGGAGATGGACGCAGCACCGGGCGTGGACCTGACCCGCGTGCTGGCGGAGATGAGGGAGCAGTACGAGGCCATGGTGGAGAAGAACCGCCAGGATGCCGAGGCCTGGTTCTTCAGCAAGGTGGGCCTGACCTGCCAGCCCCGCTCCAGCTCCCTGAGCTCCTGGGAGGCCCGTGGAGCTCACTTGTCTTCTGCGTGACCTACAGACAGAGGAGCTGAATAAGGAGGTAGCCTCCAACACAGAGATGATCCAGACCAGCAAGACGGAGATCGTAGACCTGAGACGCACGGTGCAGGGGCTGGAGATGGAGCTGCAGTCCCAGCTCAGCAAGGTCTGGCTCCCGCCCCACCCACCCCAGCCTCTCCCACCCTCCGTGGCTGTGTAAGCCTTGGCGTTCCCGAGCTCCCTTTGGGGCTGTTCCTTGCCATCCATTCAGCCTCTCTCCCCAGGCCCTCGGCGGCTTCCTGTCTAGCCTGATGTGATGTCTGTCGGTCTGCTGCCCCACCAGAAAGCCGGGCTGGAGAGCACGCTGGCGGAGACCGAGTGCCGCTACGCCCTGCAGCTGCAGCAGATCCAGGGCTTCATCAGCAGCATCGAGGCCCAGCTGAGCGAGCTCCGCAGTGAGATGGAGTGCCAGAGCCAGGAGTACAAGATGCTGCTGGACACCAAGGCGCGGCTGGAGCAGGAGATCGCCACCTACCGCAGCCTGCTGGAGGGCCAGGACACCAGGCAGGGGCTCGGGTGCAGGGGGCAGCGAGGGAGGGGCCGGTTGTGGTTGAGTGGGGAGAGTCATCTTAAGTGCAGCGTCTACAGTGAAAAGAGAACAGAACAAGGAGTAAGAGGTTCTGGACTCTGCGCTCTAGTCTTTGGCCGCTACCTTGGGCAGGTCCTGTCACCTCTCTGGACCTGTGTACCTTCTGTAAATGATAGCAGTTGGGCTCGTGGTCTTGGATTTAATGCTGGTTCCATTTCCAGCATGAAATAGATGGAGTGTTATCATAGATCAGAATCTGTGTGCTTGGGGGTGGCTCTCAGGATGTCCCAGGCTTTAGAGAAGTCAGATGTGGGAGTGAGGGTGGTGTGAGGGCTGGAGAGGACGGCTTAGCTGTCTCCCGGGGCCTCCTGTAGGCAGACCTGAGTTTTTGTCTGTTGCTTACATCTGCTGCCCCCTCTCTTTCAGGATGGCTGGCATTGGTACCAGAGAAGGTAAGAGGCTTCACTCTTCTTTTCTTTTTTCTGGCCACACTGGGCGGCATGCGGGATCTTAGTTCCCCGACCAGGGATTGAACCCGTGCCCCCTGCAGTGGAAGTGTGGAGACTTAACCACTGAACCGCCAGAGAAGTCCAAGAGACTTAACTCTTCCTGAGTTGAGGGGAGAGGGAAGCTATTGAAGCCACAGTTCTTCTTGGAATGGGGAGGAAGGTGAAAGAGGCCAAGCATCCCAGTAGGGTGGGGACATGCCCATTCCAGTAGGTACCTCTTCCCCAGCGGGACCCCTCTATCAGCCCCAGGTAGGGTTGGGATTGAAGATTTACTGAGAACCTTCCAGGACGAGTAAGCTTTGTCCAGGGTATAGCCCCCCCCCCGGCTCCCCCTCCCCCGCCTCCCCCCCCACCCACCCCACCTTCATGCACTTATGGTGAGATGCCCGTGATTAATTTCTGTTTATGTACAGCTTAAAAGCCCTGACATTCTTGCTCACTGCACAGCACACCTGCCGCTGCCGCCGCCAATCTCTTTGATGAGTGATTTAGCACCAGTCCTCCTGGCAGCTCTGGGAGGATTGGCCAATGGCCATGATCAGGGGTGCTGTGCAGTTCTTCCAGAGCTCAGCCAAGGTCCTGGAGCCTTGGGAGGGAGGACAGGGAGAGTCTCCCACTCCAAAGCTTGCCTCTTCTTCCTACAGCCTCCCTGGGAGGTGGTGGCGGCGGCAAAGTCCTCATCAATGTTGAGGAGTCAGCGGATGGGAAGGTGGTTTCTTCTCGAAAGAGAGACATCTAAGTGCCCAGCGCAGGAGAGACACCCCCGTCATCCCCACCCTCCCCAGGCTGAGTGGACAGCTGGCTGGAGGGACCAGAAAAGCAAACTCGGGCTTCCCTGGTGGTACAGTGGTTAACAATTCACCTGCCAGTGCAGGGGACACGGGTTCGAGCCCTGGTCCAGGAAGATCCCACATGCCGTGAAGCAACTAAGCCCGCGAGCCACAACTACTGAGCCTGTGCTCTAGAGCCCACGAGCCACAACTACCGAAGCCCGCGTGCCTAGAACCTGTGCTCCGTGACAAGAGAAGCCACCGCAATCAGAAGCCCTCGCACTGCAACCAAGAGCAGCCCCCCACTCGCCGCAACTAGAGAAAGCCCTCGTGCAGCAATGAAGACCCAACACAGCCAAAAAAATAATAATAATAATAATAAAGAAAAAAAATAAACGAAAAGCAAACTCCAGGCCCTGCCTTCAGAGGGTCCAGCTCAAGGGGCCCCTCATCTCCTAGTTGGGTGCTTCACATGCTTTCCCAGACCCCGCTTCAGCTTTCCCACCCCTTACAGCAGGTAGGTGCGAGAAGCAGCCGTATTGTGTAACAAGCTCATGGTTTGCACCATGTCCATGCAATAAAGAATTGCTTTTCCTTTTGCAAATATCTCCTGGGAGTATGTCCAGTTTTTCTTGTTGGTGGCCTCTGAGGAAGCCCAGGGCCCACACGCTGCCCTCTCCCCCTGACTTTGAACTCGTCCCTGCGTGGTCGCTCTTTGGGTTCCCTGGGATGCCTGGGACAAATCAGGTGGCTCAGATGACTTGCTGTCTTGCTTACCCTCTTTAGCGCTCACAGAAGCAGGAGGCGGGGTTCCTTAGAGCAGTGTGTTGTACTTAGCACAGGGCTGGACACACGGACTGATCACTTACTGGATGGTTGACTGAATCGATGGCTCTGGTTCACCACTCTGTGGTTGGCACTGTGCTAGGCACACCCACCTATGGGTCTCATTTAACCAACTGCCGGTGGTCAGGATTTATTATTCCATCTTAGAGATGAAGGAACTTAGAGAAGCTTACAGATGAGGAGGTCAGGCTGATGACTTGCCCAGAGGCCTCGTGGATGGGTAGTAAGCAGCAGGGCTGGGGCTGGGTCCCACACCTGTATGACTCCAAGACCAGGGCTTGTTCTGGGACCCCAGGCCCTGGTTCTTCACAGCTCATTGACAGGACCTTCCTCCTTGCTTCTGGCCTTCACCATATGTACCCCTGAACCTCCCCTCTTTTCCAGCCAGGCACACCTGACCTCCAGAGCGGCTGAGCCAGTTCCCCTCTCTGCCCCCCTGCAAAGCTGGCCCCCATTCCCCCCGAAGCTGTCTTCCCCCCCAAAGCACTGAAAGTGCCCAGAGGGAAAAACACCAGCTCCAGGAAGTCCTCCCTGATTTCTCCAAGCTTAAGTCCAAAGCAGTACCAACCCCTATTTGCCCTTCTCTGTCTAAATCCTGCTCCTGCTCTCCAGTCACCAGTCTCCACCTGAGGGCTCATTAGAGCAGCGGTATCCACGCACACCTGATTTGTCGCTTCTGGTTTGGGGCTGTTTCCTTTGGGATTCGTAGCTCCTGATAGAGGGCAGGGAATGAGGAAGTGGAGAACTCTGGGTGCCATGGCTGGGCTGGGCTCGGGTGAGGATTGTGGGGAGAGGGAGAACCGGTTTCTTTGTTCTGCTGGGAAGAGCAGGTAGGACGTGCCGCTGTTCTCCTTAGAATCAGATCATTTGGGAGGAGGGCCAGGCCCTCTGAGAGGGAGCCCGTAGGTCTCGCTGGGTACAACTCCTCACCCAGCAGCCGTGGCTGGAGAGAAGGTGGCATCTGTTCTTTCTGGGGGAGATTTAATCTAGAATGTGTCTCCTGAGTACACACTTTGAGGCCCGATTTCCCTGGGGCCGGAGGAAGGAAACGGAATTTATTAAGTGTCTGCACACTGCCAGGCTCTGGGCAGGGCATTCAATGGATGGCATCTCATTTATTCTCCAGACAGCTTTTGAAGCTGTGGGGTCAGACTTCAGAGGCAGTTGTCAGAAGAGGAAACCGAGGGCCAGGGAAGCTCAGTCACTTGAATGAAGCCATAAACTAGGAAACAGTGAAACTGGGTTTGGGACGGTCTCTCCGATTCCAGACCTTTGCTTTTTCCCTGGATGCCATAAGGGTGACAGAAGCTGACAACCTCTTCCTTAGAGGGTGTGATGGTCTGAAACCCATTTCTTAACCTCTAGGGGCAGCCTGTTCAAGTGTCACACAGCCATCACAGTCAGAAAGATTGTCGTCACATGCCACCTTGGTCTCTCACGCTGTGGTTCAAGCCCAGAGCACCAGGTTCCACGTCCCCAACATGCTGGGCTCAGCCAGGCTCCTTCTGGGAACTCTCCGACCCCACTGTGGCCGGGCTGCTGCTCGTGCCTCGCCGGCTTCCGGGCCTCTGTTGAGCGGTCTCAGGCCGCCTAAACGGCCACCGAAGAGTCTCCTTTGCTTGCAAAAATAACCACGTCTGCAAAGGTGCAGGGTGGCATGGGGGCTCAGCCCTCATCCAGTGAGCCTTCTCTCCGGGCCAGACCCTGAGCTGTGGGGGTGGGAAGGGGAGGCTGCTTCTATCTCCCCTGAGTTCCCATTCCTGCTCTGCTGGGATTCAGGGACAGGCTAGCAGAGAAGCCCTTGGAACTTGCCAAGTCCCGTCCCCTGTCTGACCGTGGAGTGAGAAGCCCACACCTAGGGATGGCTCATGCCTGGCTGAGCCCTTAAATCATCTTCGGGGGGCAGAGACAGCCCACTTCCTGCCCCTGGATGGAGGTGGGGCTGGGTTTCCAGCCAATCCGGGAAGCAGGCAGCAGGCCTCTCTCCTCCCCACAGAGAGGGCAGCTTTGGGACTAGGGATTAGGGCCCCGGGGTGTGTGCTGTGTTCAGGCTGGCTTTCCCAGAGCAGGCGTGGGGCATGCCCACCCCTCTCTCCCTGAGGACTTTGGTCCCTGTTCTCCTCCGGGTCTCAGTTTCCACATCTTTAAATGGAGGTGTCTGACTGGACGAGCTGATCTCGAGGTTGTCTATGGGCTGCTCTGCGTCCTGGGACCTCAGAAGGAAGCCTGGCCTGTGACAGCAGGGGCTGTGTCTGCTCCCTGCACTGCTGAGTCCTCAGAGGGGTAGCTCAATAAATAGCTGTCGCACGAATGCATGAACTTTCTTCTCTTTTGCTCTTTCTTGCCTTAGACATGGCTCTGGACATTCGCTCATGTCTTGGGTACGTGCCCACCTGGGGGTCACCTGTCCCTCCGTGGGCAGCTGGCGACACGAGGGGAAATAAGGAGGTGGCAGCTTTTCCTATGAGATTTGCAGCTGGGGTGACCCCACTTGATACCATTCCTGCTAGATATTCCTACTCACCTAAAGCCAGCAGACAGTGTGTCTCTGAAACAGCTTCTTGGACGGCTAGCCAGAGCTCCCCTGTGCCAGGAGCAGTATTTGGAGGACAAAGCCCTTATCTTCAGGAAATGTAAGACTGAGTGGGGGAAATAAGACAGGAATGCCACCAACTGTCACATGTCTGGTTGCTGTGGGTGCCGTGCTGGCTGCAGAAACCAGAGAGGGAGGCAAAGCAATGGGCTGGCACTGGATGGAGGAGGCCCAGAAGAATTCTCCGCCGGGTCATCTAACAACGAGAAGCTCGCATTTCCTCACTTGTAACAGGGAGGGAAGAGTAACCTTCCGCCTGCCGGAAGCTCCTGTGGGTCAGGTGCTTCTCAAATATTAACTCCTCTAATGCTTATTTTTCAGTTGCAGTCACCAAGGCACTGAAAGGTTGAATAACTTTCCCAAGGTCACACAGCCAGTCTGTGGCAGAAGTAGGGTTGAAACAGATCCACCTAATTCAAAGCCTTTGCTGGCGTTTCTGGGGAACCCTGGTGGTATAAAAGGGATTTTAGAAAGCTGATTACGTAGAAACGTGAAGCCCTGAGGCCTTGAGGCTAGGCTGGAGAAGGCTCCTGGGGAATTGCTGTGTCAAGCAGGCGTCTCTGAGGGTGGAGGGCTGACAGAGGGCCCGGGTCCACCGTCTGGGGTGGGTCTGCCTTTCACAAGAGACCCCTCCCCTGTGAGGGAGCCTTAGGACCCTTTGGGAGGTGGTCAGCCAGCCTGGGCTCCAGGCCCCCCGTTGTCCAGGGAGAGAGGGAAGGAGGGAGGAGCCTGATCCAAGATTCAAGCAAGGAATGCTGGGTTAGGAGCTGGGGGATGAGGTCGAGGCCTCAACTTTGCAGGTGAACAATCTGGTGACTCTGGAAAAATTTTTGAGAACTAGAGCCTCAGAGGGCATTGCTGAAGGAAACTTAGAAGCCATTTCAACATAAGGCCCACGGTGAGTCACCATAGGTACCCCCACATGTACCCCATAGGTACCCCCACATGTACCCCATAGGTACCCCACATGTACCCCATAGGTACCCCCATATGTACACCACATGTACAGTGAATCAGTGGTAGAGCTAGAGATCCACGCGAAACTCTGCCCTTCCCGCTGCCCCGGGCCTTGGCATTCTGGGTCTCAGAAATGAAGGAGTTGGATGGGGAATTTCCTAGGACAATTTAGGCTTTGACATTTTGCGTTGAGTAAGTACCCCTACAAGCCCCCGAGCTTTGGAGCTCACATCAGGCCAGACAGACCAACAGCTGCACAGGCCTAACCACTGTGGGATGCAGGCCCAGCCACCAGCTGGGTCTTGGGTGACAGGAGGCCTGAGAATGGAGAGGGCAAGAGAGGAGGCCCTCTGGATGGGACAGCGCCAACACTGGCCTGAAAGGGATTGACCAGGCAGTAGTCAAGGGCGCAGACCCTAGAGCCAGAGGTTTGAATCTTGGCCCTGACATACTCGAGTTTGGGCGATGTAGTTAACCTCTCTGGGCCTTCGTTTCCTCATCTGGAAAAAGGATACAATAACAATAGCAGAGTTGTTTCAAGGACCGCTCTACATGCATGTAGAGTGTCTCACACAGTATTCACAAATGTTAGCTAGGGGTGTTTTATTACCTTTTAACACATACAGAATGGAACCCTCAGAGATCAGACACCGAGTTTGCAGCAAGCCTCCAAGACACCAACTGGTGGGGTAGAGAGAGCCAGATGCGTTTATGGGGACCTTGGACGAGTGACTTATCTTCCCTGAACCTCAGCTG